ACCAACGACTGAGTTTCATTAATTTTGATAGAGTATTTAATTTATGTGTATTTACAGTGGCAGGCAATTTATCCAAGCATTAAGATGCTGTATTGCATTTTCATAGGTTAATCAGCATCTGACAATTTATTACTTGTAAGGAAATCTCAGACTTCACATTTACATAAAAATTACTTAATCAATTTCTCAGTAGACTAGGAAAAAAAATGGGTGTTATCAAAAAGGGATAGCAGGTATGTGCATAATCAGATTTCTCAATAGACAATTTGATTGAATTGCTCTGTGTTCTGTGTAGAATAAAACAAAATCAAGGAGGGAGGGAGGGAGAGAGAGAGACATTCTGAGGTTACAGGATGTCTAAATTGTTATTGGTACTGGAAGAAATAACACATATAAGGGAAGACGGAACCACAGTAAATCAATTCTCTAGACTATGTCGTCTGAGTAATATTTCTGATCTTTTCATCAGAAATCTGTGTACAAATCAGTCCTTTATATATAAAGACATTTCCTGATAATTTAGAGCAATGTTTCTCTTTTCCTGCAAATTGAGAGGAATTCCTATGTACATAATCAATCTACCCCCTTTAGCATCCTTTTCCAGATCTAGCAGGCTAAAGCAGTTGAGACAGACAGCATTTTCGTAAGTGATTTGCAGATCCTGCTGGTTCTAGCAAGGTCTTCCGCAGCAGTCATGACAACAGGGAAGTGTACTAGTAGTGAGTATTGTGTCTACCTTCAGGGTGTTAGCTTATACTTAACTCTGAAATTTGGAACTTTGCTGAATTTGCTTTCTAACTGAACCAGAATGAACCTGAACTCTAAGAAATTCACCTTAAGCTGTCACCATGAGCAAAAGCTCCAATGAGCTCTTCATGTGCAATATCTGCTTCACTGGAGGGTAATGAAACTGTGCAGGAAAAAAAGTGTAAAAGGCGATTTCAAGGACACTCACGTATATCTGATTGTTCCCGAAACGCTTCTGAATTTCATAAAGCAGGCTGCCGTCATTAAGCTCACTGAGTGTCGCTAGGTCATCGTTTGGAGCAGGAGGCATTAGCTTGACCTGGGAAAGAAATAAGCATGATCAATTCTAACTGCTTTCCAAGCAACTTTCTTCACAGTTGGATGTTCCATTTTTAATTACATGTCAAAAGTTTAAAGACCACAGGAGTTTGAAACTATTATTAAAAGATGCAATGGTTCAATGAAAAAGAAAAAAAAAAAAAGAAAAGAAAAAACACCTCAAAGCTACAGAGAAATGTATTCAGATGAGAATTTCTGTACTCTGTCCATGAGTGTGCACATAAACACATCCTATACATTACCTGTGCCACTCGAAGCCATCAAGTCTGTCAAGATTATTTCAACTTGTTGACTCCTCCTGTTCCTTACTTATAATTTAGACAGTTCTATACTGTCCTGAGTCCTTTGTAGGACAGGCAGCTGAAAAGCTCATGCATTCGTAGTGTTGCCAAAGCTAAAGCAAAACTTCTCAGGTTGTTATTGTTGGCAGGGTAAGGAAGCAATGTGTATGGAATTTAGTTTCTTCATTGGTATAGGATGCCACCAGATTTTAAAAGATTTCCAGATCTTTGGCTTGTGATTTTTATTCTGCTCTACCTTACTTACCCTTAAGAATAAGGTAGCTGTGAGATTGACATAATTCTGTCCTAGTCAATTTAATACCAAGTGACAGAGTTTAAAAACTGAACAATATTTCAAATTAAAAAAAAGAGATAAATTTGGATTCCTTAATGAGATGAAAATTTATCATTTCCGGGTCGGCCCCATGGCGCACTCGGGAGAGTGCAGTGCTTGGGAGTGCAGCAGTGCTCCCGCCGCAGGTTCGGATCCTATATAGGGATGGCCGGTGTGCTCACTGGCTGAGTGTGGTGCGGGCGACACCAAGCCAAGGGTTGTGATCCCCTTACTGGTCACAAAAAAGAGACAAAAAAAAATTATCATTTCCTAGTTGGAAATGGGCAATCCTTGATTTTTATGTACACAGAATATGCTCTGAAAATAGACATTTGATATAATAAGACAACATTGTTTTTTTTTTATGTCAAACACAGAAAAGGAAAAGAACAGGAATATTCTTATCAATGTCCCCATAAGTCTATCGATGCCCATAGTAAACTTTTAATAACAGCAAGTTAGTATTATTTGTACTTATGTTTGTATTCTATATCTGTAATTGCATTTTGTATTGGTATTATACATTGTACTATTAATTGTATATACCATTGCTAAATAATTTAAACTTAAATATTACTGTTTATCAGTTAAATGTTTATAAATAATGGACATTTAAAAAATAAATTTAGAAGTTTTTTTGGTAT